CCTCAGCTCTTCAGCTCAAGGCTAGTGCTCTACCACTTGAGCCACAGCACCACTTCCGGCTTTTTTTCTTTTTGCTTATGTGGTGCTGGGGAATCAAACCTAGGGCCTCATGCATGCAAGGCAAGTGTTCTACCACTGAGCCACCTTCCCAGCCCCCATATCTTAGTTCATGATTACAGGTGTGAGCCACTGTATGGAGCTGTTAGAGGTTTTTAATATGCACGTTAACATTCGTGTGTGTGTGTGTGTGTGTGTGTGTGTGTGTGTGTGTGTGTGTACCACTTTTGGGGCTTGAACTTAGGGCCTAGAGCACTTGCTTTGTTTTCTGCTAGGGCTGTCCCTCTTCCATTGAGATATACCTCCCCTTCTGAATGCTAATGTTTTTATGTTTGCGATCATTTCAATTATTTTACTCAAGTTTACTTACTGGCTCTGACTGGAGTTTTTCAATATTGCATGCATATACTACACCTAAAGCCTCCGTTCTCCTTGACAAACACCTTATTTGCTTCCACTAACTGGAAATGGAAACCAGGGCATCAGGCACCGAGAGCAAGTACTCTACCACTGAGCTAAATACATTCTTAGTCCTGCTTTCAGCATGCTACTAATAGAAAACTTCTAAAGAACATTTTCCTGCCGGGCACCAGTAGCTCTTGCCTATAATCCTAGCTACTCAGGAGGCTGAGATTTGAGGATTGAGGTTCAAAGCCAGCCCAGGCAGGAAAGTCCATGAGACTTTTATCTCCAATTACCACCAGAAAACTGGAAGTGGCGCTGTGGCTCAAGTGGTAGAGCCTTCGCCTTGAGCCAAAGAGCTGAGGGACAGCATCCAGGCCCAGAGTTCAAGCCCCACAACTGACAAAAAAAAGCAATGCCAGGTGCTGGTTTCCTGGTGCTAGCTGCTCATGTCTGTAATCCTAACTACTCAGACCTTAGTTGAGGTCCAAAGCTAGCACAGGCAGGAAAACCCATGAGACTCTTATCTCCAATTAGCCACCAAAAAGCCAAAAAAGAACTGTGGTTCAAGTGGTAGAGCACTAGCCTTGAGTCAAAAAGTGAAGGAACAATGCCCAGGCCCTGAGTTCAAGTATTGGCACAAGCAACATTAAAAAAATGTATCCAGGGGCTGGGAAGGTGGTTCAGTGGTAGAGTGCTTGCCTCACATGCATGAGGCCTTGGGTTCAATTCCTCAGTACCACATAAACAGAAA